GACGCGGGGCCGGCCATGGAGGCGGTGGTCGTCGACGCGGTGTCCAAGATGCTGAAGGCCGGCATCACGCTGTCCGAGATCTCCTCTGCTCCCTGGGCCGGTGAGTCGCCAGATCTCCTCTGCTCTTGTTTGATTTGCTTGAGATTTCGCTGGGTGTTATGCATATGCGTGACCCTCCCTGTTCGATGTGTGTCTGTGGTCAGGTGATGCCCTCGAAGGTGAAGACAAGCTGAGATGGCAGGCTGCTAGTTGCCTCGGCCCCAAAGATGAAGATGAAGGTGGAGGAGAGCGAGCGTGGGTGAGATGGCCTCTCGCAGCATGTCCGACCGCTCCTACTCCCCTGACGAGCGCATGCTGCAGCTCCTAGGCAAGGTATGCATCTCCCTCTGTCCTTTCCCCTCCCCTTCCCCTACTGCTGCTGCTCTCCCCGGTCTCACTCCTCATCTTGTCTCTTGTGCAGGGTACACGAACTCCACTTCTTCCACCAGCCACCCTCCCCTCTGCGCCTAGCTTGTGGAACACCTCCACACCATCTTCGGAGCCGCCTGCCGGTGAGATTGGTGTTCATTGTGGCGCAATAGTGACTACACATGCCATCGAGTTAGTGATGTAGTCATGTAGGCAGCGAAGCTTAAAGTGTTATGTTTACTTCACATAAACTGAAAAGGGTATCATTTCATACTTTTGGTCTGGTTTGTGAATCTGCTTCACTTAAATTTCAGCCTGAGCTAGTAGTTGACTAAAGGAATGCTCGGTACATTTTGAGATATTATATCACTATGCTAATGTGTTTCAACAAGGGAGTACCGTCTACTAGTCTGTTAATCTGTGAGCGATGGATAGTTTAATCACGGCTTGTTTCCAGACTTGTATTAACACAGCATTCCCCATTTAAAATATCTACTACTAGTCTGTTAAAAGAGATCTCAACAATGCTGTTTTAGTGAGCTTATTTGTTGTCAGAGACTGGGTAATGATAAAAGACTGCCACGATTAAGTTCAGAAACGATAGTATGTGCTACATTCGATCCTGGGTTGTATAACATATTTGTTACTGCAGGTCACCCATCCTCGAGGAGCAGGAGGGACGCATCTAGTTGGCCATCAAGGGCCTGCTCTACTCCTCTTGTTCATCTTATGGTATCTTGTTCTCTGTGATAACTGTTGACTTGCAAGATACAATGTTGATTTACTATATATGCTCTTGTCTCACCCATAACTTTGTTTATATGCCTGGTTTCAAGTGAACTTGTCATAGCTTATATTGTTGCTTTTGTGGATACTGCTACCCGTTGCTTCAATGCTGCCTTAACTTGTTAGCATGTTCATGTGAATTGGCTAGCTGCTGCCTGTTAATTACTACTACTCATTGCTGCTGTATTCTATTGGCACCAACTCTGCTGCCCGTGTATTATATATATTCTTCTTGCTCAAGCACAAGAGCACTAGTGCTATGTTGCTGCCGGTGACAGTCCATGGACAAACTCTGTTAATTTATTGACCCTGTCATTCTATGCTTAAATGATGAAAAAGTCGCATTTTGCTTGTTCTAACATGCTGTTAGGTTTGCTTTTATTTTGTTCCTAACCATTTTGTTTGATAACTTGCAGATGCTAGCCTTCCTTCGTGTTTTGTCGTGAGGTCCAGGATGAACAAGTCGGGCTCATTGGAGATAGCCTGATGTAAACCTGATATATTATTATTTTATATAGCATCGTGAGGTCCAGATGCTTGTATATATTATTGTAAACCTGATAGTTACCTGATGTAAACCTGATGGTTGATTGTAATAATGTGCCAAGTTTGGCTCTGTTTGATTGTATTCATGATGTGAACCATGTTTTTCCGGATTAGTTATGCTCTGTTTGAAGCATTTTATTTTCTGTCTATTTTGATTTAATATTGTTATTTATTTATTGGAAAATTGAGATCTGAAGAATATAACCTACTTATCAGAACTGGTCCCATCTCACTAGTGGGCCCATCTTTTGAAAAAAAAAATCGTAAACTTTGTAGCCAAAAAGGCCACGACCCAGAAAATAAAAAGGCTGAATTGGTGGGCCTGGTCCATGGGACTAACAATAAAAAAGGCTGCAATACTGGGCTTGGCCCATGAACCTGACCAAAAATTGGTAAAAATAAAAACAAAAGGTTGTATTGTTGGGCTAGGCCCATGTAGAAAACCAAATTGGACTGGGCTGAATCTTGTGCCACATCAGCTTGCCACGCTGGATGCCTACGTGGCCTGGGGAGGTTGCTAGTGACCAAAACGCCACAGTAGGAATATTTTGGTCGTAAACGTCCACGACCTTCTCACAGAGAAGGTCGCTATAGTCAGTTAACGACCCTCAGCTTTTGACCTCCTGTTTTTGGTCAAAAAAGGTCGCAAATGAAAAACAATGACCTTTCAGTGACCAATAGTCAAGGTCACAAGTTGACATATTTCTTGTAGTGAATGATCTCCAATCTTAACAGAGACAACATGCATGTGAACCACTCTTTTATTTTTATCTTCATTATCTTGTTCATTTCTAATAAGTTTAGCAATTCCAGTAGCATCGTCACAGAAATAGGTAACATGAACATCCACAATTTCAACCAAAAGATCTATAACAATTGCAGTTTGAGGTTCTACTTTAATTTGTTGAGGATGTTTAGGTGCTTTAAAATAACTTTTGTGAATCACAGTTGTAGCCTTAGAGTGTTCCTTAATTCCACCAGGAAAAGGAGGATTCCCAATATAAGTAGTAGGCACAATAGGATTAGCATAATAAGCTTAAATCTCAGTATTCACAACAATTGGTTCTTCACAAATATCTTTAATGGGTTTATGATATTTAAACCATTTTTCTTTAGAAAGATCAACATGAGCAGGAAAAGATTTACAGAAATTAACTACTATCTCAGAATCAGGCCCATATTTGCACTAAGCTCATGAAAAAAAACCAGTTTCTACAAAAGACTTAACACAATCATATTCAAGATTTATACCTGATTCCTTACCTTTGTCGACCTCCCAATCTTCAGCGTGACATTTAATTCTTTCAGTAAGTGTTTATTTAAGAAAGATCTCGCAAAAGATGAATCAAGCATTTCCTTATCGCGAAGAGAAAGCATAGCATAAAAATTGTGAACAATGATTTTTCTTGAGAGCTCATGATCGAGGCATCATAGCATTAGATTTTTAAGCCTCCCCAAGTTTGAGCGATACTTTCTCCGTCATGAGGTCATAAGTTATAGATATAATTCCGATCACGGTGAACCAGATGCATAGGATAAAATTTACTATGAAACTGCAGTTTCAGTCGATTCCACTTCCATGAGAGAGAATCATCCAATAGCCTATACCATAACAAAGTTTTTCCCTTTAAAAGTAAAGGGAATGATTTGTTTTAACTTCATCCCTCGGCAGTCCTACAAGCTTAAATAATCCAGGAAGTTCATCTATGAAAAGCAAGTGCATTATCGTTCCATCTCCTGCATAAGGATTAGCATGCAATTTTTTTGAATACTAATAGGAATACTCCCTCCATTCCATAATGTTACGAGCATAATTGGTTTGTTACCAATATTTGGCTTGCCAAATGTTGGCATTGTCAAATATTGGCAATACCAAAATTTGCCAACTATTGGTAACTTTATGTGAGATAGGCAAAACAATTCGTAGACAACCAAGTAGTTGCCAATATTTGGCACAATGCCAAACATTGGCATGCCAATTTTTGGCAGCAAACCAATTATGCTCGTAGTGCGCCCATGCTTTTTTGAGATTCAACATTGACCATAAATTAGACCAATAAACATAAATTATTTTACTGAAAAATTATACCTTTGAAAACTTCTTTTGAATATGAATTCGTAGATATCTGTCATGTTCCCGTCATAGTCGCCCAATGTAATAAAGTGGCAAAATGTCAAAATCCAAAATAATTGGTGGTTAAAAAATCAAATCACATTGATATTCGATGGCGATTTAATAAAGACTGAAGTCCCAATATAGCTGGCCAAATGGGCCAGGATAGCTGGGCCAGCCCGGTAGCACGGCCGGCACGGCACGACATGTGCTAAACAGGCCAGGCCCGGCACGCGCACGCCATGGGCCGTGCCTGGGCCTAAAGGGCAAGCACGCGGGCTGGCACGACACAGCCTGATTAACTTTTTTTCAATTTTTAATGTATCCTAATATGGGCCAACATGTAAAAATAGGCTAAAAACGCTCAGGGCGCAAAATAGGAGGTAGATTAGGCCCAGTTCTTTTGCCAGAATATGAGGATTCTCCCAGAATCCGACCCCTACCCAGCTTCTTCTAGAATCTTTGAGGCCCATTCGTTTTACAATTCTATGTAATTAGACCTTAACTAGATAGGATTGTAAAACAAATGGGGCTCAAAGATTCTAGGAGAAGCTATGTAGGGGTCGGATTCTGGGAGAATCCTTAGAATCTGGCAAAAGAACTAGGCCTTAGTGGGCCTGGCATGCCGGTGGGCCGGCCCGATTAGCATACGGGCCGTGTTTGGGCTGCAGGCTGCAGCACGCGGGCCGGCACGGCACGGCCCGTATAATAATCGTGCCTAGGCGGGCCAGGCCGTGCCAGGCACGATTAGAATGGGCCGGGCCGGCCCGTTTGGCCAGCTATAAAGGCCAGTTCTGTTGTTAGAATCCGGGGATTCCCCCAGAATCCGATACCTACCCAGTTTCTCCCAGAATCTTTGAGCCTCATTTGTTTTACAATTCTATCTAATTAGACCCCTAATTAGATAGAATTGTAAAACAAATGAGGCTCAAAGATTCTGAAAGAAGTTGGGTAGGGGTCAGATTCTGGGAGAATCCCCAAATTCTGGCAAAAGAACTGGGCCTAAGTCCCATTCTTCCTCCCCGGGGGAGAAAAAAAAAAGGTTGGCGGGTCTCCCAAAAGTTGAACCTCGCCTTCTCGAAGAATCCGGCTAGGGCTGACGGCCACGGCCCGGCGCCTCCAACCTCCTTTAGCGGCGGCGGGGCGCATGGCCGGCGGCGAAGAGGCGGACACCGCGGGAGCGCCCGCGGAGGCAGAGATGGACCCCGGCGTCTCGCGCGGGGGCGGGTTGCCCAGCTTCGAGTTCGCGTTCAATTCAGAGAGCTTCTCCGACCGGGTGCTGCGGCTGGAGGTCGTCGCCAGCAACGGCGTCGCCAGCGACGGCGTCGCCAGAGGATCCCTCCCCGACTTGGCGTTCCACCGCGAGGAGCTCCACAAGGAGGATGCAGGTCCGTACAGTGCCTAACCCCCCCTCACGCCGTTGGAATTGGATGGATGTAGCTGCTGGTGATCCATGTGTAGGATTCTCTGCTGTTTAGCGCGATTCAGATGTGGATCCGTGTGAAATCTGTGGCTTATTTGCGATTCTTGCTGTTCCTTCACTTCGCGTAGCTTGCCCTTCATTAGGGGCTAACGATTAGGGTGATATGAGCCTCACCTGTTGCTGTGTGAATTTAAGAATTGTCTGACTATGGATGTTTTCTAGTCTGGATTAATATCAATTCTGTTCAGATGAAGCAACCAACAAATTGTACATCGTCCATGCATCCAACTAGGATGCAGACAAATTCTTAGTCACATATTTAGGTGGAGCAGTTACGATGTTCAAATAAATAATGTAATATTCTTCCTAGTCAAGTTTGTGACAAAGAGTTTGTTTTCTGGAAATATATTGCTTAATTAGATTTTAGAGGAAATCTTATGTGCTTGGAAATTTTTCTGATAAAGTTGTACTGAAGAAACAAATAGGAAGAACATGATACTGTCAAATCTGTTATTCACTTGATGGATTTATATTTCGAAGGATGAGGAAGTTGGTTTATAATCCCCATTTTGTAAAACTTATGATTCAATGATCAACTATGATACGCCATATGTATTTTGAGAGAAGGTGTGGACTGTGGAGGGGTGGGTTCCTACTCTAGAGCTCTTCACAACCATGTTCCCTGTTCAACATTTAAAGTCAACAATAGTCTGCCGTATTTACTGAAACATTTAGTGGTACTAGATAGTAGTCTGCTTGATCATCATCATTTTAATGTAGTATCAAACTGTGATGTATAGGCATAGTTGTTACTGCTGATACAATCTGCCGATCAACTAGATATTAGCCTTGCAGGTTGTTTCTCCATATGGGCAACAGACTAGTTACATTACAATGATGGGAAGATACCCACCGACTCTTAGTTAACCCCATGTTCCTGTTTTGTTACTTGAGCTTGATTCTGCCACTATATGCTTGCACGGTATAAAATGATGTTTGTTCTTTCGTACTTGGACACGGTTATATGAGATTTCGGTATCACTTTACTCACTAAGCAGCGAGCATGCTTAGATTGCTTGGTGCAGCTGAATGAATTTGAAGGTTCATGATATTTTCTTAATCATTTTACCATGTTTCTGAATGTTGAATAAACAAATATGTGCACCTAGAAGTACAGAGTGTTCCAAGTATCTTAAAAGCAGAATCTGTCTGGTGGCTGTGTTTTATGCCTTTTACTTCATTTTCCCCGTTTGCCTTTATTTCTCTCTGATCTTTATAATATATGTGATGCATAGATGGGCAAAGTATTGACTCTTCCTGGACCATGGTGGCCATGCCAGTTTTACGAGTTAAGACCATTTACATCAGTTCGGTGGTTCTCGCTGCAAATAGTCCATTCTTTCTCAAGGTGATTCACATAACCTTCTGAGATTCATTTTCTTCTATGGTCAGCTCATGTTTGCTAATATGCTTCATTCACCGTAGCTTTTCTCAAATGGTATGAAAGAGTCTGATCAGAGATATCTAACACTCCGAATTGCTGATTCAGGTCAAGTGATAACATTCTTCCTTTATAGCTTATCCTGGTTTTCTCTTTTCTGTTGTGATTTTGTTATTATTATGTAATCTGCACACACTACAGTTTTTTAATATAAAACATGATTATTTATGGTATTCTAGGGATTATGTCCCCGAGTTTCTGTCACCCCTTAGTTTTTTTTCTAATCAAATGATTTATTCTCTTTTCACCGTCGCCTTTAAGTACTAAATAGTTATTTTGTTTACTCTTAGTCTGCTGTATGGATAGCTTTCCTAGTACCGAAGGTGTACTGTAGTATTTTACGCACAAAGAATCTGCCATTTAGTTATTTATCGAACTGTTATCATAAATCCGTATGCCTCCTTGTTTTATTCTATTATTAGGAACAGAGGAAACTGTCATGATGGAGCTTTTGAGATTTATGTACACTGGAAAGTTGACAGCAACTGAACCCAATCTTCTGCTCGACATCTTGATGGCCGCTGATAAATTTGAGGTTCTTGCTTGCATGAAGCGTTGCAGCCAGTTGCTCACAAACTTGCCTATGACCAGAGAGACTGCACTGCTCTACCTAGATTACCCATGCTCCATTTCAGTGGCTGCTGAAATTCGTCATCTGACAGATGCAGCGAAGGAATTCCTCGCCAACAAATACAAGGTTTTGGATAAGTGAGTGACCACCATCTGATGGAGCCACTTTTTTCCTTTTTCCGTGAAAACTATAGACATCTTCATGCCACAAAATCTTGCATGAAATGTTTACTCATGGCATGATTTGTCTCATTCCAGATTTCCTCATGAATTGATGGACATGCCTCTTGTTGGGATTGAAGCCATCTTTTCTAGTTCTGACCTACAGATATCATCTGAAGATGCCGTATATACCTTCTTGGTCGAGTGGGTGTGCGAGCAATACCTAGAAACAGAGGACAGGCACAAGATATGGAGTTCTCGTTTACTTCCGCTGTTGCGCTTCAATCATATGAGCTGGAAAAAACTCCACGAGGTCCTGACATGCAGTGATGATTGTGATGATGTAGACAATGAGCAAACAAAGAAGCACATTACCGATGCACTCTTGCACAAAGCTTACCCCGCACACGAGCAAGGTGCACTTGCAGCAGACACAGCAACCTGTTGCCAAGTTCCACAACGAGCCTACATGAGAAAACCCCTGAAAGTGGTTGAGTTCGATCGACCCCGCCCACAGGTTATTGTGTACTTGGATCTAACGCGTGAAGAGTGCTCCCGACTCTTCCCTGAAGGAGAACTATTCTCGCAATTGTTCCATCTTGCGGGGCAGAACTTGTATATCATGCCAACCTGTGAAATGGACGAGCAGAGTAAGCAATACAGCTTTGGCCTCTGGTTAGGGATCCATGACAAGCCGGAGGGCTCGGCATGCTTGACATTCAAGTTTGAGTTTGCTGCACGGACAAAATCGTCAGGAGAATTTGTGCGCAAGTTGAAGGATAAGGCTATCTTCACAGGTGATTGCATGGAGGGATGCGGTGATCTTTTTGGCGTTCCATGGTCGACATTCATGGCGGACGACAGCCTCTTCATCGACGGCTTGCTGCATTTGAGGGCTGCATTGACGGTGGTGGAGCAGCCTGAAGTACAGGCTTGATGATGTCTCACTCAGCAGTGCTAGGTTGCTTCAACGGGATTGATGCTTCTGCGGTCTTGTTTCATCATTTGGGTGCCTGAGTGGTACTCTTACAATGAGTAAGTAGGAAACCTGTGTGCTAGGCACTTTTGGTCTGCCTCGACAGTTTTCCTTGTCGAAGCGTGAGCGTCCACTAGAGACCTGATGATTCACTCGGCGAAGTTAAGTCGAGCGCTTAAATGGCATTCGGTTGTAACATGAGAGTTTAGTTAGTTGGCTGTGCAGTTTCATTCTGATATTTCCTTGTCTCTGCTGGAAAAGGAGGCTTTGGTGCCTGAGTGGTGTAAGGAAGCTCTTACAATGATAAAGTTGAAAAACTGTGTGCACTTCTGGTCTGACTTCAAACATTTTTATTCGCCGTCTTACAATGACCCCCCGCCATTCACTCGGAATTACAGGCTTTCAACCAAGAAGCCTGATGGTGTGTCAAGATTGAATCAGTGGCTTCCATGGGATTCCAGTTGTATCCGAATAATTTTTATTGTTGCAAGAAGAAGGGAAGAGGGGATAATAGGAAGTGTTGTCTGCTGCTGCTGGTGCTGACGGTGGAATTGTGGAGGGTAGCTGAATCCTGAAGCTAGCCGCAGGTGTGGGTGTGGTGATGAATGACACAAACTCTGAAGGAAACCAGCCTGACTCGATCGATCGCTTGCTACCGTAGATCAGCGACACGTGTACTGTACTGTATGGTGTGGATCCTTTCTGAGTGCAGCCACGACACGAAATACCACTGTGGTAGTACGATCCTACCTTGTCTTGATCGATCGGTTGATACTCATGCAAGTGAGTAAATTGCATAAAACCACCGCATTGAGGGCTAGCTTTGCGAAAAACATTAGGATACAGAATCGTTGCAGATTGCACCACGTCTAGCGTAATTGTTTTGCAAAAACCATTGATCGGCGGATCGGGCTGAGTTAAGTGAGTTTATGACAGGTGGGGCCCGTTTTTCGCGTACGTGGCACTCCAGGCCGTCCCGACAGCCGGCGGACGGCGTTAGACGGCGTCGTTCGGTCCTAGCAGTCAAAAGCCCCAACCGTTACTCTTTCTCCACTCTGCTTGCTCACTCTCTTCTCGCTCTCGCTCTCGCTCTGTTCTTGGTCGCCACACCCGTCGTCGCCGCGCCGCGCCGCTGCCGCAGCCCCATGGTGTCGTGGAGTGATGGGTCGGATAGCAGCGAGCACACCAGGCAGTACATGAGCTCAGATTCCGACGACGTCACCATTAAGGTCAGTTCTCAGAGTTAGGGTTAGGGTTTGATATTTGGGGATTTCTGGAATAAGCTTCTTTTCAATCATTGGACCAAATCTCTGTCATTCCTTTGCACTCCAGGTTCCTGCTAGCACCGAAGACTCAGATTTTGAGGGCCCTGAGACATATATTCATGTTTTGTGCCATGGACACGGGAAGGCAGCAGAAAGGCGTGTTGCTTTCGAAGGGATTCACACTGGCAGGAGGTTTCTTTGTTGTGCAGAGAAGGTATTTTAAGAGAGTAGATGCATGGGTTGGCAGACCAGCATTTTTTAGTTTGGATCTGGCAATATTGTTTAGTTAGGTCATTTTTTAACTCTGCCATGTTAGCTTATTTTAGGACAGAATATTCATGGGTTAGCACACCAGCATTGTTTATTTAGGGAGCGTTTGGATCGCTTGCCAGCTTACCTCGCTAGGCAAGGCAATCCTTGCCGACGGAGGCGAGCCGATTTGGCTAGCTCGGTCAACCGAAGAAAAAGCTGGAAACCGCAGGATACGAGGCAGGCTCGCTCGGGAACCAAATCCCTCGCTTCCTTGCTGAGCCAGGCTAAGCCAACGCTTGCCGGATAACCAAACACTCCCTTAGTAGTTGTTTACTTTAGAGCATGATCTGAATTTTAGTATAAAGTAATCTAGCCTGTCATTGTAAGCAAGTCACTGCTATGTAATTCATTTTGTTAATACTCTTTTTCCAGGAAGGTAAAAACTGTGGACTAGTAGAATGGATTGATCCATCTTGGCCCAATACCCTTGAGAATGCACTGTCCAAGTTGTGGTCTATGTATGAACAGAGTAAGATTGACAGGAATGAGGAATGTCTGATGCATTCATTTACTATTCATGACCTCACACAAGAGAAGAAAAAACTCCAGGCCAGCTATGAGAAGTTGGTTGAAGATGTCAATGCACTTATGGATGCCCAGGAGCAGAGGGCAGTGATAGAAAGGAAAGATGCTGAAACAACCAAGTTGTAGGAGAAGTATGACACTTTGAAGAACATAGCAGATGCTCAAGGTACTGTCATTAGGAACATGAAGTTGAAGCTAGCTTTAGAGAAGAAGAATTTGCAGATCCACATTGATGAGCTCAAGAAGACAGTTGAAGAGAGCAATGTGAAGCTGGAGGGGATCAAGGCCATCATAAATGGATAAGCAGTGCAAGAGAAGAATGGGCAATATCATTTGGCATTTGCTGACCTTTTGCAGGGTGTGGTTTGGCATTTGTTGTAATGATAGTAGTTTAAATCCTATTAACTATGAGTACTCCTGAACTATGGATATGTAAGCTTAAGTAAGATGTTTGCATTTGAACTAGTGCTGAATGTGGTGGTATTTGAACTAGTGCTGAATGTCAAACTATGATTATGTATGGATTTGAACTAGTGCTGAATTTGGTGGTATTTAGAGCTGGTTAATGTTATCTTAAGTAATCTGTTTGCAAATGATGATTTTTGCTTTAGTATGTTCCTGTTCAACTGATGATTCTGAGTTAGTTAAGTAGGGTCAAGTGATGGGTTTTTGGCTTTTTATCATCGTCGAGGCATCAAGTAGGCCAAGTGATGGGTTTTGGGCTTTTTATCGATGCAGAGGCATCAAGTAGGCCAAGTTATGGGTTTTGGCTTTTTGTCAACGTCGAGGCATCAAGTTGGCCAAGTTATGGGTTTTGGCTTTTTGTCGACGTCGAGGCAGCAAGTAGGCCAAGTGATGGGTTTTTGGCTTTTTGTCGACGTCGAGGCTATCACAGCATCAAGACTATCACAACATCAAGAGTACTACTAGAATGCCATAGTTTGACACAAATTGATCATAATAGTTGAGCATCACAGGACTACTAGAATTCCAAAGTTTGATACAACATCAACACAACCAAATCACCATCAACACTGGAGTAGCATAACTGGAGTAGCAGAACAACACAACATAGTTTCACAACACAACCAAAATGCCATAGTTTGATAAAGCATCAACACAACCAAATCATCACCATTTTGCACCAGAGGCAGTCAAGTAATCCTTCATTCTGTTGCTGGGCTTCCTGACTCTCTGGGAACCATCATTTGGTCTTGAAGGCATGAAAGCTAACCTTGGTCCCTTTGCAGCAGCTGATGAAGATCTGGTTGCTGGTGCCTTACCCTTGGGAGCAGCTGATGCCTTACTCTTGGGAGCAGATGATGAAGATTTACTGGCTGCTGCCTTACCCTTGGGAGCAGCTGGAGCAGTTGGCTGCCTCCTAGCTGGAGCAGCAGCAGATGTTGCCCTCCTTGCTGGAGCTGGACTGGCAGCAGATGTTGCCCTCCTTGATGATCCACCAGCAGTGGCAGCAGCAGAGGCTGCAGTCCTTGCTGGTGCTGGTGTGCTTCTACTATCAGGTGGGTAAGAGCTGGTGCTTGGCTGCAATGAAACAAGTAGTTTAATATTAGTAAGCAATAAAGTAACAACAAATTTAGTCTTTCTCATAGTAGAGTGGTTACCTGATGTTTGTTCTTTCTCATAGCAAGTGCAGGCTTTAGAGCATCATGGCAATTGGTGTACCTATGGCCCACCTTATTACAGTTGGAGCAGGTAATTGAGGCCATTCTTGAAGTGTCTTTGGGAGCTGACTTCTCAAATTGGCCCTTTCTCCTCTTAGTTTGTGCTCTGCCCTTGTGTTCTTTGAAAACAGGAGCCTCAATGTCCAAACTATCTGTCCTTGGCCACATGTCAGGGCCAGATACAAGATATATTATAGGACTGTAAGCTGCCAGGTACATAGGTTTTTTGAAGAAATCATGAACAAAGTCCTCTGGCTGAAGCTTAGCCTTGTGTATAGTAGAAACAACATGATTGCAAGGAACTGCTGTCATATCCCACTTCTTACAACCACAAGTCCTATGTGCTAGGTTGACAGCATATGTTCTCTCCTCACTAGTAACTTGGAAAAGGTTGGGGCCAGCCATCAATGATTGGCAGTTTCTAGACCACTTCTTTGCTTCCTCCAATTTCTCTGCATATGTTGGACAAATCTCCCATCTGACAGTCTGAGTCTTGGTTCTATTTGTATTAAACTTGACCATTAATTTTGTTCTAATTCCATCAACCATGGTCCTTATTGGCTTAGCCCTGACATCTAGAACCCACTTGTTGAAAACCTCACTTAAGTTGTTAACTACTAAGTCTGTTTTGCAATTTGTGTCCATGGCATGTCTGGCCCAAGTGTGCTTTGGGATTTTACTAAGCCAAGCCCATGCTTGTTGGGGAACGTAGCAGAAATTCAAAATTTTCCTACGTGTCACCAAGATCTATCTATGGAGAAACCAGCAACGAGGGGAAGGAGAGTGCATCTACATACCCTTGTAGATCGCTAAGCAGAAGCGTTCAAGAGAACGGGGTTGAAGGAGCCGTACTCGTCGTGATCCAAATCACCGGAGATCCTAGTGCCGAACGGACGGCACCTCCGCGTTCAACACACGTACAGCCTGGTGACGTCTCCCATGCCTTGATCCAGCAAGGAGAGAGGGAGAGGTTGAGGAAGACTCCATCCAGCAGCAGCACAACGGCATGGTGGTGGTGGAGGAGCGTGGCAATCCTGCAGGGCTTCGCCAAGCACCGCAGAAGAGGAGAAGGGAGAGAGGTAGGGCTGCGCCTGGGAAAGGTAAAACTCATCTGTTGACAGCCCCAAAAACCCTCAAGTATATATAGGGGGAGAGGGGAGCTGCGCCCCCACCTAGG